GTTTGGGTCGACCAAGCTACAGTAGCCGTGTATCCAAGCTATTTTGGCCGCTTTTAATTTTCAATCTGCAGATTGAAAATAGCACCACCCGGCCATGCGGTGTTAATTACCACGACCTACGTAGCGTAACTGCTGGCAGCATTTGCGGAATACAGTCGTAGCCTACAGCTTGCACGTTTGCAGTATACTGTACTGTACCTAACCTATACCGAACGTAGGTTGATCTCCTACTGTAAGCGAGAGAGATAGGTAAATCCTGACAAAGAGTTCTGTAGTTTGTATAAGGTTTATACTTACATGATACGTTGGCAGGAGGACATATACATTTTTCTATCAGCTCGAATATATTCGGTATATCTGAGCTCGTGGATTCATGTTCCTCACACTTACATAGATAAATTAATACTGAGGTTAATTATACAGTTAAAACGCATTATTTTTATATGATACAAGCGTGTAAAAATAAACGCTTTAAGCGTGTCAGCCTGTAACACGTATTAAGTGTGTTTTATGACACTCTTTATATGCATTTTTTCAAGTATACGCATAAAGTGTGTAAAATGATTTAGTAGAAGTGTGTGATAATAACATAACACGTATAAATGCATTAATTTAACAAACTTTTGACGTGTTTAAAACATTACACGCTTATGTGTGTTTCAATACACACTTGAAACGTGTAACTTAACACACATAGATTTACAGTGATGCCTTATGGGGTACCTAACTAAATTTGTGTGCCTCAAAAGTTTGAAACAAGAAAAGGCCTGCCCTGGCCTTCAATACATAAAAAGATGTATTCTATATTCTCTGGGAGAGACGCGTGTGTCAGTCACAATCTCTTGCACGTGTGGTGTATACAACTTTCCGACACATCGTGCACGGAGAGCGAGATTATGAGCCATCTAATGTGGCTCTGCAAATAGCTTGACGTACACACGCACTCGCATGATTGCGCAGCACGAGCAATGAGTAGCCTGTGTAAATCGAGGTCTTTAGAGCCACAAGAGATTAGAGAAGTAACGAATACATTTTTCGTTCTAACACACATAGATATATAAAGAATAGACTGCTTGATCCAAGTAGAAACCATGAAACTTACATGGAAAAAGAAAGATGTCGAGGGCAGTCAGTCTTTTTATCGAATACTCCCTAAGTGAGAGTTTAAGGACGTTCGGTAGGGGTAGAGCCCTACGATGATTCTTTTTAAAATTTCAACCAGACTTTCTTATTTTGTTACAATGAAGTTGTTAAAATTTTAAGATGTTCGTCTGTTTAATTTCAAGATATTGAATTTCAAAGTTCAGTCATTTTAACACGGTCGCTTATGGGAAAAATTATAAAAACTCAGTTTTAAAAAAATTGGCATGAGGAATGTCTCCAATTTTTTTATATTTCACAGATAATGTTATTAACTATATGTACACAAAGTCTCGCAACGATCGTCTGATTAGTTTATGAATAAAAAAATTAAATAATAGCTTGACAAAAACGCAACGGCAACGTCACAAGAAGCGGGAAATTCAAAATGTTCCAGGACGTAAATCAGTAAATATTTTAATATAATGTAGATATTTATGTATTTCTGTATAAAAAATAAGCTTATATATGTATGTGAGTGCATGTACATAGGTTCCACCCGTACCCATAACAAAACAATGTATGATAACAACACATATTTCTTTTTCTTAATAAAATTTTTAATTTGTAATTTTTATACAGTACAATTTTTTTAGACAAGATAACAAAATCACATGCTTTTAGTAATCGCAGAGACTAGAGTCTGTCCTAATTATTTAACATATCACTTTCAATAATTTAAGAATTTCATTTAGATTAGCTACGAGAATTTAATTGTATAATTTTATATCTCTCACAAGTCTTTTTAATTATTTACTCGTTTTTATTACATTGTTATAATGAATAAAAATCAAATACTAACATCTTTAGCACAAATACATAACAAATATACACATACACTGCCGTAACCGACGCAGCAGACACCAGACAATGAGACAATGCAGACACTACAGAGTGCACACCACCTGATGTACGTATATATGTGTTTACATGACACACACATTGGAGACCCGTGCGGCGATGCCAAGTCTTCACTCATCACTACTTCCCCCTTGCCCCGCAAATGGTTCCCACCCACTATCTCTACCGAACGTCCTGAAGAGTACATAGAAGAACTATAGAGAATGGCACACCTGCTGGGGTCGAGTTGCAACCCATAAGACAACGCTAATGATCTCCATGGTCAAGTTGCGAGCCAGCCTTTTTTATCTTATGGTCGAGTTATGTCCTAGCAATTAATTCGATGAGTCATGACAATTTTTTCTGTCTCACCTTTTTCATAATTTATTAAGATGATGATATTCTAATACTTAAACTATCAATCCTATACTGGCAAAAATTTTTTGTATAGTTCCTTAAAGTAATAGACAATTAAAAGTAAGACATTATAATATTAAAATATATTATTAGATAAAGTGATAAAGTTTTTTGGAAATCACCTTAATATACTTGAACCGAGATATTGTACCATTTTGACACTTTATTATTTTATTTCGTAAATATACTTCTACGTCCAATGTACTTTTGATTTAGTCTTGGAACTTTGCATGTTTATATGTACTTTTATCTGTGTTCTTTTTATAGCATTAACAAAAATACATAAATTAGGCTGTGCGGGGTAAAAAAAAGACTTAAATTTGGAGTGAAATGATTTACAGTTCATAGTCGTTCTACGAATAGAATACTCAAATCTTGTCCACATTGATGCAGGTCTGGACATGTATTTTTCAATAGAATTATTTGAAATGTAATCGCAAAAATTCTTAACTCTTGAGTCATCAGGCATCATACTTTTTAAATCTTCTGTAAAACAGTCACTCACATCATCAGGATGTAGAAAAAGTAGTCCAAAAAAAAACATTTCAGAAAAGTTCCTATTTCCAAATTATTATCTTCATATTCCCTACTTAGCCCCAAGTATTGAATCTTATGGCACCAACTTTGACCAAGGTAGAAACGGTAACCTCTAATTTCTGCTTTAGGTAGAATTTTACCTATTGCATAGTGAATAGCTATCTAAAAATCAATAAAAATAGTACATCGTGTAAATGACAAGCTCATTTTTTCACTTTCAGATATTAAGATAGAAAAAACTTTGCAACAATTTTCTGTGGATTTATCAGGAATTAAAAAAAATCTGAAGACGTATGAATATTATCATGAAGAGCATGCACCGTAAAGACTTGTATAAGAAACTTGGGGTAGTTGTAAAAAGTGCCATTTACGAATATACTCGGAGATGCTTGTATCATTCTGATGTTTCTCACAGTAGAAAATAAAACTATGTTAAGCTTTTTGTCATCAAAAAGAACTAATTTTTCGTTGTTAGTAGAGATTGGTTCTAGAGCTATGAGAGATTGTTGAAGTTCAAAAATGGATTTTGGCAAAGTAGAAAATTGCTTACGTCTTCCTGCACTGCTGTTCCGACAAACTCAATCTACGTTTGGTGTCGTATCTATTGAGGGGCCCCTGTGGGGTACTTGTCATACAAATGATTCTTTGATATATTTTTTTTATAATCATTTTGATTATGCACATGTGTGAACAAAATAGCAATAATACGCAGAAAAGTCATCGGGAAAATCGATACTAAAAAATTTATTAGTTTTCCCGTGGTACCTTGTGTAAAGATGACGGCCCTGCCACGATAAAGCTGACAACACTGTACTCTCTTGCTCTCATCTGCTATCATATACCTATACTTATGTTAGACTTAAATTTTCATGCTTGCATGTTTATGAATGTACAGTGCATGCGCACTTACAGTACCTGAACAAAACAATTCTCATGTTCGATGTTTTCCTCGCTATTTTCTCAAAATTTAACGTGTTGATCCTATTCTTTTTTTTAAATAATAGATTCTTCATACTTTCAAGTACATGTATCAATTTGATGTGTGGGCCCACAGCTTTTTATTACGGTACGGTAGTCTATTGAATTTCGGGTTCCGTAAGGTTGCGTGTTAAAATGACGAATTTTCACAAGTGATTTTCTCGAAGATAAGTATGTTGACCTACCTATTTTGTTTTCCTAAAAAAATCTAGCAAACTTTATGTGCATAATCTCTGAATTTCAGACCTAGCCAGCATTTAATTCAAAATCGCTCAAGCCTCCTTAATGTGGCCTCATTAAGTTTTTCGTGATTATGTAGTGTGGCTTCTAGCACGAGTTCATCATGTAAACTAAGTTTCAAATGACTCGAGCAACTTTCAGCTGTGCATTTCCAACGTTTAATATCGTTCTGTAAAAGCTTATGGAATCTGGAACAATGACTTGATAGGTGAATTCAAGGTTGACCTTTTTTAGTTTTGCAGAATTCTATCGCTACAATACTACACAATTAGAAAATCGGGTGATGTATTCGCTTTGCTAAGCTAGACAATACTGATAAATAGCTAAAAACTTGAATTCTGTGCAATTAGGAAAAAACTGACAGATCGTAAAGTAAATGAATGTAATTACAATTTTCGATGTACAATCCATCTACAAGTTATGAGATATTATCATTCTGAGATTTAATAGCAAGTATTCAAGAAATGTGTGCCAGTATAGGATTTATACTATTGATCCTGCCTCCAAAGCCTGGATAAGTTGTGATAGAAGAAATTGTTAAGACTCATCGACTAAATGACTGGGACGCAACTAGACCACAAGATAAAAAGACCGTGGAGGCAACTAGACCATTAGATAAAAAGACCAGGACGCAACTCGACATTTGCAGGTACAGCTGCATATGTATTTATGCAGTTCTTCTATTTAACCCCGCTCCACAAGTGTGCAAGAAATATTTTTCTCTTTTCATGAGCTTCATTGCCCCTGCTTCAAATGAACAGTCTATCATTTCTATGCCTATGCTTCAAAGGTAGCAAACTTAATAGTTATTGTCAAGTATAGTTTGTCTTTTAACCAATATTACTTACAATATTTTGTGTTGTAGAAAAAGAGCCTCCAGGTATAACCGGTCGATCAAACATAAGGTTTCCGAATGAGGGTGGATGATCCCTGTAAATACAATTTTCTTTAATTTAACTTTTGTTTGAATCCTGCATCGAAGTTTTTGTTAGATTTTATGACTTTAAGTATTAAGTTGAATTCTAAAATCCAAACATTTTATTACTACTTTGATCTTACTCTATATTTACAGTTTATATTAGAAAAGTTAGTTAACTAGTTATGAAACTAAAAACTTATGCATTTCACTGTAACTAAAAATACCGAAAATCTCATTTTTTTTACTATGAATCTTTAGTAAGTTTTTTATTGAAAAAGGCATGAATGGTTTTTAGAGTACTTATATAAAATTCTTGCCATCTACATAATTGTGTGCCAATTGATACGATGATAAATGTATCAATATTACTTGTATATTTCTTAGTCATATTAAAATATATAACATACCAAGAAACATTAGAATCATTTTTCTACATACCTACCAAAATTTCATGTTTTACGAATTATATTATTTTTCTTGTTACTATCATTATTCTTTTAAATAAAATTATTACAAATAGGGTTATTCTAAATTAAAAATTAAATATTTGTAGCTTACTGTACACAGAACACAAATTCTCCAGATCTGATATCCTGATTGAGTGCTCTCTTTTTTGTATTGAATATTCTAACACTTCAGTAATTATTCAACCTAACCATGTCTTCCAATAATGAGTTTTATAAATCTCATCATAAATTTTTATGATAAATCTTCTGCCTTTCACCTATCAACGTTTCTGTTCTTATTTTATTAACATTATCTAGCCTGTTGTTATTTCTATACTTTCAGAGCTTAACATACATTTTAATCTTCTACTAAAGATTTTAACCTTTAGTACTGTAAATATAAGACTTAACTTTTTCTGCAACTTTTGCTTACTCTCCCTTATACCCCTTTTTCTTGTGGCTTATGTTTTATTATAACTTAATAAAATTTTATTTAAAACAAAGCATGTAAGAACAGTGAAAGAAGGAGACAGCACAAATAAGTAAGTCAAGGGCTATGCTGTTCATATATTTATTGATATATGGTGATAGCGACCTAGCAAACTAATCTCAAATGATGCGACTGGTTCTGAGGCTCTAGCCAATGAGATGTGAAAACAGTTTATGCACGTATGTATACATACACAAGTAGTCTACAGTGAACACATGTATACTTTCGTGTACTCAGCGTTATCACATCTAATTGGCTAGAGTTTAGGTACCGGTTGCGCCATTTAAAATTAGTTTGTTAGGTCAAAATCCCCATAGGTGACGATATTTCGACTACACGATAGATTTTCCTTTTCAAGTCTCTAAAATAACATAATATACCATAATACAAGGCTATGGTAACATGACAACTAATGTGTAGATTTGTAATAGATGAAACTGTACAGTTATGTTATATATATATATATAATTCAAAAACATATTCGATTACGAGTTAATAAACTTGAATACCAAATTATAAATCATACTAAGGAAAACAATTTTTTAAATCAAAGCCGTTAATAGTATTTCTGTTTGTTCAAGGCTGTAATAATGTTTTCAGAAAATGTTTTAACAATTATGATCACAGTATAATTCTCAAATCAGTTTGTCAATAAAATTTTTTAAATAGTTTGGTTACAGCAAAAATTTTAAGCAATGATAAATAATGTTCAGCTTACACGTTTAAATGTAGAAATTATAGTAAAAGTTATGTTGGTCAGTCTTGTCGCAAAATCCAAGTACGGATAAAGGAATGTATATAAGAGATTTTACAAACAAATAATTCTTGAGTACTATATTAAACATTCCCTTAAATAATTTTCTTTCACATCCAACTTTTTGGACTTCTTGGAATTTATTTCTTTCATACAAGTGTGTACTATGCGTGTATAACGTCTCATACTTTACCTAGCTTTATAAACTTACCATGATGGTAGAATTAGCTAAAAATCATAACAATTTCCCCGAAATTCTGACTAGCACGAAAAAAATAGGTTAGTAATTGATCTTACATCAAAAAGTGTCTGTTAAAAAAAATGTGCAATCTTATGACGAACATAATGAGCTGCATTGGATTTAGATCGGTTCAGCCGTTTTTTCGCAAATTCCAAAAAACTGCCATGTTAAGTCATTTTTTCGAAATTCAATAATTCGCATTATATACAAATTTAGAGCTGAAATTTTAATACAAGACAGATATTATAGCCCTTTTTATACAATAAAAATGTCAGCTTAATCAGTTTTAAACTTTTTGTGAACTGCAGGTCTAGGTCGTATGAGAGAAGTAGGGGTATTGAAAGAGATAGAAGAGATTTCAAAGCAGTAGGACGCTGGCAGCGAAACTGACAGGACCAGACAGGACTCCTTGACGGGCCTTTGAAAGGGAAGGATGTAGAGCGTTTGCGCCATCAAGACGTCGTCTAACCTACGTCCGTCACCAGCTCATGGCGATCTATGGGACGCATCATCTGCAGCCTGGCTAAAGACTACGCAATTACGAGAGATAGGATGGCAGTGGGCGATATCGCGAGGTTACGACGCCGATAACTTCCCTGGAGATAGTGGTCTGGAGATATTTCGCGTAGTGTATGGTAAGGTTAATGACTAGTGGGAAGGTGAGGGAAAGGGACATAGTACGTGGCGCTGAGGTGAGGTTGTCTGGGTGTAGGATGCGTCAAGAGTAAGGGTGAAAATCGTGCGTGTGAATGAGTGTATGTGGTTGAAGGTACTGTGGATTTCTTTGGGGTTGCGGAGAAGAGTAAGAAGTGTAAACGAGGGTCGAGATTGCTAACCGAGTGAGAGCGTAAGAATCAGGTAGAAGAAAAGAGAGAATGCGTATGTGAGAGCGAGCATCAGGTTGTCTGAGGGGAAGAGGTTTGGGTCGAGGAAGAGAGCTTGGCGGACGTGATTGCTCGAATTGTGGGTGAGCCGATGTATTCGGGGTGATGGAAAAATGTGGCACTACAGGTTAAGGTAGTAGTTGATCCATGTTAACGCATGCACAGTAGACATCACACGGACAGACGAATTCTTAGCGGATGTACGTACTTATACATGCACAAGTGCTGTATGTAAGTAGGTTGAAAAATATCTGGCAACGTCGCATCTTGATTCAGAAGAAGTGTAAATATTTAGCGTAATGTTGATAATTATAATTGAAACAAAATTAATCAGTTACGAGAGTAAAATGGTAGATTTACCAAAACATCTAAGCTGGCGCAAAAAAGACGAGCTTCCGTTATTCAAAATAACATAAAAAAGCGAAAAATGGCAGTAGAAAGCGAGACTGTAGAAGAAAAAAAGTTTGAGTGCGAAGAATGGTGACTAGTCAATGTACAGAATCTGGGAAAAAACTTGAAGTGTAGTGAATGCAACGAGCTGTTGGATTTTGAACGAGTGAGTAAAAAATATCGATATGGTTTACATAGTAATTTTATCATTAATTGTGATAAATGTCACCAATCAAACCCAATCAAGTTTGGAACGGTAACAAATATGGGAAACCAGAAGTACCATGATGTAAGCAGTATGGCAGTGCTTGGTGAGTATTTTATAATTTTACCAAAACGTACAGTATCATTAGTATTTTTTGAACTACTGTTGAAAACAGCTGCGTTATTGTTTTAAATTTTCTAATCTCTAATCCCTGTTGTTGCTGTTGTTACTGTTGTTGTTGTTGTTGTTGTTGTTGTTGTTGTTGTTGTTGTTGTTGTTGTTGTTGTTTGCAGGTGCTGTCCACTCAGGCATAGGCTGTGCTGCCTTGAAAAAATTGTTTGTTCACTTGGATATGCCAGCTATTACCAAAAACACGTACAGAAGATATGAAGATTTGGTCGGCAAATGTATCTTGAATGTAGCCAAAGATTATTGTAGAGAAGCCGCTAAAGAAAAACGATTTTTAGTTGTTAAAAATAAACAACTGATTTGTAAAAAGCTGTAAGCCAAATTTTCGATCTTTTTTGGATTTTCGATCTATTTTTACTTTTATTTCAAGCTATTTTGATAGTTGAGTAACAATTTTATTAATGTAACTTTTTAATTACANAAGTTCGCACCGGCGAGATACGAGCGCGTGCCGCTAGTTAGCGAGACGGGGTATACATGCGGGGTGAGTGTATGTATATATACGTGCCGAGAGATAGTCCTCCGAAAGAGCGCGTGTCCGCGTGTTGCATCCGCTGCGGGGCACACGACGCGAAGGAGGAAAAACACGCTAATGTATTCTAATGCTATGCCGCCCCGACAATGAAGGCACAACTCATCGGCCTCCTCCTCGCCGTCCTCCTCCTACTTTTTTTTTTTTTTAACACAAAAAATTTTGTTTGTTTATTTATTATATCTACTTTTCCTCTTCTTTCTTCCTAGGCCTTCAGAAATCATTGATGATACATACCCAAACCTAAATATTCTTCGAGAATGTGCTGCAGAAATAACTTCGTCATCAGGAACTTGCAGCGTTGAGGATGATTTGATAAGGTTTTGTTGAAAAATTGGGAAATGTTATACATACAATAATTTCCTATGATATGGGAAGGAGTAAACGCGGGAATGGTCGTAGTTATGATAGTCTAAATGGATATGGTACTATCATCGGATTTTTAAGTGAAAAAATTTTGGACTACGCTACATGTAACCGAAAGTGCTATGCCTGCGACCTTGGCCGCGACAAAAACGACCATGTATGTCGCGAAAACTTCAAGGGTAGCACAAAAGCCATGAAAGCATTTGCTAGAATAAATAATAGTACTATTTTGAAAGACGCTGAATTATCTGTTCAAGTAGCAATCGGTGACAAAGAAACTACAACTATGGTTATTGTACAAAAGGTGAATCCTAAAAAAGTTTGTAAACTTTGAGATTCAAATCATTCAATCAAAAACTTTGGAAAACAGTTACATGGTATAAAAAATAATTTCTCCGAATTCAAAAACGGGGCTGCAGTTATTGTGCACATACAAAAGTTATTTTCATACGCTGTAGCTTAG